AGCTCTGTTTGAGGAGTAGGCTGCAATGCTGGGGTCCCCAGCCTCCCGGGGGCGAGAGTCAGAGACCCACTGCAGATCTCCCTTGCAGAGGGCTTCAGACACCGGGTTGCCAGGTCGCCATCTTGCCCCGCCCCCCTGGATTTTCAAAGTAAGGATCATATAGTCTGCAGAGAGGGATAGCTGAATTTTCTGTTTACCTATTTGGATACCCCTGATTTCTTTCTCTTGCCTGATTGCTGTAGCTAGGTCGTCCAACATTATGTTGAACAGGAGGGATGAGGGTGGGTATCCTTGTCTTGTTCCTGTTTTCAGGGGAAATGCTTCCAACTTTGGTTCACTGAGCAATATGTTGGCTGTGGGTATATCATAGATAGTTCTTACTAATTTGAGGAATGTTCCTTCTGTGCCTAGGTTCTCAAGGGTTTTTATCAGGAGGGGATACTAGGTTTTGCTGAAAGCACTTCTTATTTATCCTGCCAGAGAACCAGCATTTTGTTTTGTTGATTTTTTCTATGACATTTTTGTTTTCTATGTCCTATAGTTGGTACTTTATTTTGGGGATCTGGATTCTTCTGCTGAAATTAGGGTGTTAGTGGTCTTACCTTTCCAGCTACCTTAGGTGTGACATTAGACTGTTTACTCTTAACCTTTCTGTCTTCTTAGTGTGTGTGTGTGTGTGTGTGTGTGTGTGTGTGTGTGTGTGTATGAAGAGTTATAATCTTCCCTCCTATTGTTGCTTTTATGGCATCTCAGAGATTCTTGTAATGTTTTTTAATGTCTGTCTTAAAATAGTGTTGACCCAGGAATCACTCAGTCATATGTGATTTAGTGTCCCTGTCTTTATGTGTTTTGGGAGGATCTTGTTGGTAGTGATATATATTTTTGTTCAGCTGTGATCTGAGTTGATGCATGGTATTATGTCAAGCCTATGAATTTTTTCTATGGTTGATTTATGGCTGATATGTGGTCAATCTTGGATTATGTTCCATGTGGTGATAAGTAGAATGAAAAATCTGTGTTGTTTGGGTGGTGTTCTGTAGATATCTATTGAGTTCATTTGGTCAAGCCTCAAGTTGAGGTTCCAGATCTTATTGATTTTTACCTCAACAATCTATGTAGGGTCTTTAGTGAAATATCAAAGTCCCCAGTTATAATTGTGTTAGAGTCAATATCATCTTTTAGTTTACTTAGTAGTTGCTTTATAAATTCTGGTGCTTCTGTGTTAGGTACATAGTTGTTTAGCATCGATATTTCTTGTTGGTGGAGCTTTTGCCTCCATACAGACTCCCAGTCTTAACCCCTTGATCCGTTCTGAAATTGCTGCAGCTGTTTTTCAAAACCCTCTTAAACACAATTATATTGCTTTAAGTCAAAAGGCATCTTCTGGAAAGTCTTGCCCCTTGTATTATCTCCAAAATGAAGAGAAAATGAGGTTTATCCAGGTCTCTAGGTCTTTTCTCTTCACATAAGGAGCAGAAAGTGCCAGTAGGGCTTAGAGGTTATTACATGCAGTGTTGATGTGGACAGAACTCATTGTGACCCTAATACCATTGTGCAGCCATCTGACATACCAAAGCCAGCCTGTGTTTTTTATTTCTATGATGAGAATGTTTTTAGGCCTCTCTGGGATGATGCTCTTCTTACAGGCTATTAATAAAGATTAGGACTGTTCCATAGCTGACCAAATGCCACTAATGCCTTGAAGGTCTTCATTAAAGCCTAGAATATTTTCCGCCCTGGATATCCATGTCCTCTGAATAACTCTCTAAGGGATCCTGCTCTGAGTTCCAGCCTCTCATTTTCTGCTGGTTTATGGTGTTGTCACTGACTCTGTATCCCTCCTTATCCCTGTCTTAGTGTGAAAATGAGTCCACTCTACGAGTAAAGGATATCCACATTATATGGACCCCACAGCCACATGCTAGAGAGTGGCAGGTGTTATCCCTGGTACCAGCCTACTGGGGTAGAACCATCTCGCCCTTCACCAGCTTTCTGGACATCTACCAGGATGTTATCACAGCATCTGAGTTCATGGAATAACTGTTCAGTCGGTTAATGTCTGTCCACTCTAAGACACAGTCAGTGGTGACTCTGACATCTATTAGCTGTATTTAGGGATATCACAGCAACTGTTGAGCTCCAGGTTGTTCCTGGAAGACCATGAACCCCACAAGATTCTGTAGATATTAAGTGTCCTAAGACATGTCTTTTAGTACCTAGTGTTTGACTCTGTGGAAATACTGCTGGGTGTGCTGTGGTGGTTCATCTTGATTATTTTTCTCTTTTCCCTTACTCGAGAACCTCTTTGCAACATACCTCACTGACCTTCGTTCCTCTCTATCTGGAAAAGCACAGAGAATACACATCTCTTTTTTCATTTATTTTGTTCTTAAAGTTTACTTTTAATGGTTTTTAAAAAATTTGTTTTATTTTAAAGATGGGTATAATCAGGATTAGGAATTCAAGTGGTCATGGTACAGGTAAAGTTTGGGCCTCCCTTTGGCCCCCACTTTCACCTGGTTTGAGATCAGGTATCCTTCATTTGCAAGGAGATTTGAGATTCCTTCTAACTTGTCATTGTACTTGACGTAGACAGAATTATAGTCCCTGGATGCTGGCAGAAGCCCTAGGCCCACTCCCATATCTGAGAAGGTTCTTGGAAGTTCATTCATAAAACACATGTATTAAGCACTCACTTTTCTAAACAGTTGGTATAATTCAATGAAAACAGCAGATGCCAAACTCCAGGCTTCAATTCTACTTGATGAGTCACACACACATACTAGGCACCCTAAGAAGGTCATGGTCACAGTATGGTCTAGGTATGGAGGCATTCTTTTAGATTCTGACCATGATGACAGAGCCCTGAACAAGGCATAAAATGGGTGTACTTTGAGTCCAGAAGAAGGACCTCTTGCCACCCTAAAGTATGGAAAGATTCTATGGTCTTTGGCTGGGGAGTGACTGAAATAACCATGGGTCTCATACCTCTTAGGAGTTTCATAAGAAGTCTGCTTCTGGGGGATCCCCCACAAGAGTAAAGTATTCAGGGAGAGTTGTGAGTGATGTTGGTGTCCCAGGCATTCTGCAGAAGATAAGTAAGACTGGGCTCAGAGCCAGCCCCTAAGAGACCTGTCCCACCCAGTCCCATCCTAGCTCTGCCAGTCTTCCTCCATCCCACATCACCCTCTGGTGAATCCACCAGAGAGGGCCCATACCTGGAGTTAGATGGGGAACCTGTTCCCAAATCTGCCTGAAGCCACAGTGCTGAGTCCTTAGGTACATGGAGGTGCATGTCCTGGGTATTCAGAAAGGAAGTATCAGGGGGAAGTCAAGACCCTTAAGGAATTGCTTAGCCCTTTTCCATGACCATGTCTTTCTCAGTCAGGGTATCACAGAAAGCTGAATGGGGTGTGATGGGGCTGTCCATTAGCCAGGTAGCCACACCCCCAAATTCCAGAAACATACCAAGGTTCAAAGTGAGGGCCATGTGGTGGGAAGACCAGGCCTCTGATTCTGCTGTCTATTTGCCATCTCCAGCATCATCCCAACCATTTTGCATACCTGGCCACACCGGACCTATGGAAATTCTTCCCATCCCTCAGAGGCACCACTCTTTAAGTTAAAGTTGGCTCACATGTTGGCCTCCTGGCCTGGATTGGGCCAACATCCTAGTGTGCACATCTGAGGCCACCTGGTACTTGGGAAGCCCAGGGTGTTAGAGGCAGAAGGTGAGGCGGCCTTTGATCTGGAAGACTTTCGTAGATTGGAATTCCCAGAAATTCAGTGAGTTTTCTTATTTGTAGAGGACAGTGTAAAGTGACTGATGTTGCTGATGTTTCTCCTTTTGCAGCTCTGATCTGTGTCAAGGGACACAGGTACTACCAATGTTGGTTTTCCAGCCAGCATCAGAACCTCTGAAAGAGCCAGGGCCTGCTCTGGAGCCAGAGGCACCTGCAGCCCTGGGTCTAACACCTTATCTAGAGCCAGCAGCAGGGCCAGCTCCAGCACCAGGGGAAATGCCACCTCCTGTGAATGAGCATGAAGTAAAGTCAGCTCCAGAGGTGCCCCCACCCCTGTCCTGGGACTGCAGAGACCAAATCCTGTGATGAGCTGTCTGGAATCATGGCATTTCCTCCCAAGCAGCTGGCAGAACAGTTGACTCTTATGGATGCAGTGAGCAGCTCGGCTTTCAGGGTAAGGTGAGATAGGCAGTGATTTTGCTATCATCTGTGTCAGACCAAACATGCCCTGACCTGAGTCCAATGTCCTTGGCCCAATCCCAGCCCCACATCTCACCACCAGTGAGAACTGGATGACTTTCTTTTCCCAGAATCCCTCCCTGTTCACATGTGGATAGCAGACATGGGACAAGAATGACGCCAGTTGCAGTGACTGTGCAGTTCCAAAGAAACAAGACAGAAAGTGGATGCGGCCTAGTTTATGTGGTGGTAATGAGGACTCACTGAGGGGATGCCAGGTTCATGTGTACCTACCCATGTGCCCCTAACTCAACTAGCTTCAGTGCTTATTAGGTACCTGATGCATACCAGATTATATGTCAGGCACCCAAATAGATCCTCTAGTTGGAGCTGCCACAAGGAATGTGTATGTGATTGGAAAGAAGAACTGAAGGCTGGTTGGGATGGATGGCAGACTTGGACTTAGGATGAGCATTCATGAGCCCCCCTCTGGTGCTCGGAATTTTTGAAAATGCCACTCTCCTTCCCCATCCTCCACCTCAGACCACTGTCACTTGCCTGAAACTGTGAGCAACTGTGGACTCTGAGCTTGGGTGTGCTGTGTACTCATGATACTCCCCTCCTCCTCAGGAACTGTTCAAGAAAATGGTCCCTATGAGTGCCTGGGCTCTAGCTGGGGCCATCAGAACAAGAAGGAAAAGAAGTGACTGGCACCCGCTGTCTATGCCATCATGACACAACCCAACAGACTGGCCAACTGCATCCTCACCACCTGTCTTGGAAACTAAAGCCTGACAGCCTGGGACAGGGCCAGGGTGGTGGAACACTGGATCAAAGTGGCCAAGGTAAGCTGTGGAAGGCCCTGTCTGAAGATGTGGAAACTGCCACCTCTCACTTAGCTTTCATGATTGTCTTATGCGGTCTTAACCTTGTAACCCCCTTAGGCCCTTCCTGCCAGTGGAACAATGACTTTGATATTCAGGGTCCAATGGTGGCTGCTCATTTCCTACCTGGGGTTTTTCCTTGGGTTAAACTGTAATTGTTACCTGTGAGTGTTACTCATTGTGTCCCAGGTGTGCCCTGCTTAATCCAGAAGGTAAGAAGTCAGCAGAGGAGACTTAAGCTAGACAGGGTGTGCTCCAACTCTCAACCTCATGGCTCATTCTCTTCCTTCTTGATTAGTGCCTCAGTTTCAGGAACTACTCCTCAGGTCATGCTATCCTCTCTGCCCCAAAGAGCTCCCTGATCCATCAACTCAACAAGTCAGCTGGGAAAAAGTTTGTAGGTGAGGGAAGCTGTCTTCACAGGCGGGCCAGGGTAGACCAGAGACTTCCTACAGCTCTGGCTATGCCCACTCAATGCCCCTGAGAGGTTCAAGAAAGACAAGGACACTAGATCCAGGGATGGACTGGCCAGTCCCTAAACTGAGGCTGAGGTCTCTAAACTTGGACATTAGGCCAAAATGTCCAACTCAGGACTAAGTTTTCTTAATTGTCAGGATCAGCCAGGGGCCGACTGGAGAGTTTCAGATATTTATACAGAATAATGGAACTCTCTGCCCAACTGACATCTAAACTGTACAAACACATGTCAGGTGAGATGGGGATGGGACTTAGATGACCATTGTGACAACTCTGTCCCCAGTCCTGTGGAATCTTCAGGGCCCAGGGGTGCCAAGTGTGAGCCCTCTTCCTGGCAGTTCAGTGTTTTTGATATTCTCAAATCAAAAGAATTTGAATGTACACAACTCCCCATTATTGTCAAATTGAATCTTCCTTCTTTTCCCTCTCCATAGGAAAAGCTCTAAACAATTTCAAGATTTTTCTAGCAAATGCAAGGAACTGAGCAGGAATCCACTCATCAAGGTAAAGTGGAGACTGAGATGAGGGGTGTATGTTTAGAGTGAGGGTGGAAAGGGTATTGGACCAGCCGTGTGCCGTGTGTGTGTGTGTGTGTGTGTGTGTGTGTGTGTGTGACTTTCTCACTGAAAACTGACTTGAAAAATAGCATCAGCTGTATGTAGTCTATAGTGACAGAAAGAGAGACATATTTGACTCTGGGAGGGAGGTTGTTGTAGAAGGAGGTCCTGGAGGAGCAACCCCTTTGGATACCCTCCCACTGTGGGATATTTTCTGTCCTCTCAATAAATCCTTAAAAAAAAAAAAAGGAGACCCCAATGATGGAATGTGGAGATAGCAGCTGGATTGTTCAGCAGAGGTGAGGAGCTGTGGAGTCAGCAAATATCTGACTCCCACTCTGGTCCATCCTGCTAGCATGAAGCTTCCTCCAGGCTGTAGGGTGAATGTGGTAGATGGAGCCCCCCTCCTTCTCCAAACTAGCTTAGCAATTCCTCAGGAAGCCAGGTTCCTGCTGCTGCTCTTTTCTGCATTGAACCTCCATAGGGAGGGACACATGACCTGCACCACAGATGGGGACTGCAGAGGAATCCCACAGACCAACAGGTCCAATGACTGCATAGCTTTGGGTCCTAATGGCCATACATGGGACAGATATGTGTTTTCTAGGAATCTCCACTCTGCTCTTTTGCACATCACAGGATTCTCCCCCTGGTATTCAGTTAGCAGTGACATGTGCTCCAGATGGCTCAAAAGAAATATCTGGGGACTCCTGCATTCCAGTGGCTCCTTTCTGGCCAAATCTCAGCTCTTTCCTTGTAAATGAGGAAGCAAAGTGTTACCACCCAGCATCCTCGGAGGACCCTGCCTTGTCAGCCCGAGATGACACTTCAGCAGACTACTTCCTGAATGGAGGAAGAGGAACTTCTGTACAGCAAACTCTCTGTGTGCCTGGTTCAAGGGTCAGAGGACAGCACTCCTCTCTTCTAGCTAGAAGCCTGATCATCAAGGGAGGAGGAACCCCTTCCTCCCAGGCGATCCCTTCTGTGGCCACTGTTTGGAATGTCTCCCTTAGAGAGACCAGAGTCAGGGCATGGATAAGCTGGGCTTAGAAGGAATTTGGGGAAGGGCAGGACCAGAAACCACATGACCTAGTGACCTGTTGATAGTCCACCACAGAGGTAACTAGGGGTGTGCTTGGTGGCCCTGGAAGCCAGCTAGGGGGAGAAAAGGAAGATAATAAGGAGAGGCAGCTGAGGGTCTTTAGCTGCTCTGAGTGGGAGGCCTGGGGAGGTGATCAGAAGACAGAGGTTGATGAGATTTCAGGGAACAGGCCTTAGGAGACACCAGAGAGCAGATGCTCATCACTACTATGACCCCAGTGGCACAGGGCACCGTTCCCTTCCAGGAAACTGAACTGCTGATTCTGGGCTCTGAGATGGAGGAATATATAGATGTGAATGAGCCTGGGGGGATAAGGGGAGGGGGGAGCATCCTGAGGGTTGGGAGGAGAAAGTCTCACATTAAGCCTTAGATCTGAGTTCCAGGCAATCCTCCCCTCATGAGAGTCTCATGGCTGCTCCATGTGCGAGGGCCTCAGGCTCATCTACCCCTGAGGGATGCAGGCTCCACGGCAACCGCCATCCCACCTTCCCAAGGGTGATGGAAAAGAGTTGCCAGACTGCAAAGGGACCAGAGGTTTGGACTAAACTGAACTCGACCTTTCCCTAGAGTAGTGTTCTTCGGAGGAGAGTAGAATTAGACTCATCCAAGAGCAGGGAGCTCCCACGTATCAGAGAATTTTCTTTCCATTCATGGCATAGTTTCCCTGTCTGCCATCAGAGAAGGTTGGGACAAAAGGTCCCTGAGCCTCAGCTCTCCTGACCTCTCTCCACTTGAGCCCAGAGTTTGAGGCTGCTTCAAGTCTTGTCTTGTGCATATCCCTGACTCTGGGGGCCCTGGTGGTTGTGCACCATGGGAGAGGGTGGCATGTGGCTGGCTATGTGGGTCAGGGAAGCTTTCTGATGGAATTTGACTGTTTGACTTCTAGGAAAATGTGATCAACATGAAGAAAATGATGAAAGTGAGCACTGTGGCCCTCACGTAGGGGAGGATGGGATGTGGAAGTGAGGGACACTCCTTGGGAGGGCATTCCCTGACTCTATCTTCTGCATCTTAGATTTATTGGAAAGGTTTGATACACACAGAAGGAGGTTATCCATCGCCATGGAAAGTGTGAGGAAAGGACTGAATGCAAACACCAAATCCTGCAGGATGGGCTCTTTGTACCCAACTCTGAGAACATCAGCACTGCCTTAGATTGGAGGGGAGGAGCGGGACTCTTCAGACAAAAGCCCCTGAGACTGACCGCTCCCTCCCTCTCCCATCCTGTCTATCCTGACAGGGCCTGCCTTCTACTCTGCCCTGTCAACATTCTTTCATTCCTCTTGCTCTAGGAGATCAAAGTGCTCCAGAAGATGCAGCTATTCCAGATGGCTGTGGAAAATTACCATCTTCAGCCTGAGGAGCAATTTTGGGTCTGGTTTAATTCAGTGGAGTACTTCAGTGAAAATGAGAGGTAAGAGCCTCTCAGACTCTCAGAGGGTTAAAGGAGACTCTTTCTTGAGGCTAGCTGCAGAGAGTCTATGGCCATGGCTCCCTGGTCAGTGTCAGGCTAGTTGCATGGTGACTGCTGGGGTACTATGATACCATCTGGGCAGCCATGGGAGGGTGACATGGGATATGTCCCCTAGTAGTCTCACAGCTTTTACTTTTTCCTACAGCTCCTACCTGTCCTCCCAGCTGGAGCACCCATCTCAGCAGGCCAGCAACACCCACTCAGCACCTGCAGTGGCTGGGGCCTATGGGTCTATCCACCTCACAGAGCCACCAGAGCCACCATGCCCTGCTGTACTCATATCTGTGGCAGCCCATCTAACCCAAAGCCAACACCAAGGTCTCCACAGTCTTCTCACCACTCCCGAAATCTCAAGAATTCTGTGCCTCAGTCTCTCCTTCAGCAGCATGGGTGTCCTCCTCCCAAACCCAGGCTGCCCAGAGCACAAGGCTAGGCATCCAGAGCCATCCCCATGTGCAGCAGCCACACTGCCTGAGCACCGCTAGCTGCTCCTGGGCCACACAGCCACTCTGGAAACTAAGTGACTTTGGTCCAATTCTCACAGACTAGTGAGACCCAACAGGTGCTCAACTATCAGATGCACACTGCAGGGACATAGCAAGAGGGTTAGAACATACCGACAACAGCCATTGGCTCCAGCATCCTCATGGGGAGTGTATAGCACCTGCTACATCTGGGACCCCACCACAATGTGGACAAGGATACCAGCCCTGCATCATCCTTGTCCTAGAGTGTGGGCCCCAAGAGACCCCCTTCAAGTGAGGTACTTCTCAGGTCCCAGGGACTTTGTTACTGAAGACCAACTGCTCCTCCTGCCAGGATTAAGCCCTGAAACCTCTGCAGGTGAAACAAACGTACATCAGGCAGGTACCCATTACTTGGCATGCCAGAGGTGGTCACCATCCCCCACAAGAGATACCACGCACCCCCCACTTTATAGGCAGAGCTGCAGAAGATGAACCTACCCTGAACAGAAGGATCTGACCCAGAGCCTGGGGGTCTTGCCAGAAAACCCTCCAACTGGAAGCTGGAAACTGTTCCCTTCAAGGGCAAGGAGTGAGCATATTCAGCTTTGCCAACTGATCTCTGTCCACTGACTAAACATTGCCCTGGTCTCATAACAGCAGCCTTCCATGGACAACCTCTAGGTGAAGAGGCATGATTGTATTTCCACAGAACTTCATTTCAGCACATGGAAAATTCTAATGTCAAAGTATTATAAAATTTTATTGTTTTGAATTGTTTCACCATTTATTCTTTTTGTCACTTATTCTTTTCACTTGGGCCACGCAAGAGCAGGCAGAAGCAGGCTGCATTCTACCCAACTCTGGTTGAATTGGAACTCAAATGAGGGCTGGTAGCATGAAGCAAGCCCAGCCTCCTTACAGCACGGATTTGACCCAGGATATCTGGCCAGTTGGGTCTCACGGGCCAGTTGGGTGAGGAGGCCCAGGTGGCTGGTGGTGGGGTCCTGCCTGCAGGGAAACTGGGACCCCCATGTCACAGTCGATGGAGGAAGCTATCAGAGTCCTGGAAGCTGGTCAGAGCTGGAGCCACAAAGCAGGTGAGGAACACGGGCTGCCACTTTGGGGACTGATAATCTGGGATGGAGGCACAACAGGTGCACACACAGGTGTCCTCTGGTCCCACCTCTGCCCCAGTGACTGCTCGTCTCCTGAGGGGACACCAGGTCCTGAGATCAGGGGCATACCATCTGACCATCACCCCCAATTCTCCTTGCCAGAACAACACAAAGCCTGCCCCTGGCAGACAATCTGGGCCTGGGGCCATTGCAAGGGTGGGTGGTCTCCTTGGGTGGGTCTCCTTTCCTAGCTGGGCTGGTTGCAGCATCACTTGTCAATCTGCTGCCATGTGGCATAGGTTCAATAGTTCAGCTGCTCATTCTGGACACACCAGTCCCTGGCTCCCCGGATATGCCCAATTCTGCCTGTTCCACCTTATCTGCCCCACATGCCCATTCCCCACTAGGATCCTGACAACAAGAGGACCTACACTTGTCCCTCAAATTTTCCACAGGAGCTTGTATTTCACAGGGACTCCCAGCTCAGTGCTAGCCACTGTGCGGATCCCAGGATTAGTGCAGCTCCTAGATTAATCTCCTAGGCATGTCTGATTTTATTTATTTATTTTATTTTTATTTTAATAATATTATTTATTATGATATTGTGGGGTACAGTTAAGGGTTAGGTATACAAATGTGCTTTGTTCAGGCACGCTTGTTGATAAGAGGTGTCTCCCCATACCCAGACAGATGTTTACTACCATTAATCCCATCTCCGTTCCCCTCCCACTCCATAGTTTCCCACCACTGTCAGTCATTTTCTTTTTTCTTTTTTTTTAATCAATATTTTTTATTATGATATTGTGGGGTACAGTTAAGGGCTAGGTATACAATTACGTTTCACCCTGTTGATAAGAGGTGTTTCCCCGTCCCCAGACAGGTATTTGCTACCATTAATCCCATCTCCCTCATCCCTCTAGTTTCCCACTACTGTCAGTCATTTTCTTATAGTATTACATTGGATGTTCAAGGTCCATTATATGAGTGAGAATATGTGATACTCAGATCTTTGTTTCTGTGAGAGGTCACTCAGTATTATAGACCCTAGTTACATCCAGGTTGCTGTGAAATTCATGATTTTGTTCTTTTTTATGGCTGCATAGTATTCCATCATGTATACGTACCACATTTTTTTAATCCAGTCCTCTTTTGATGGACAGCATGGTTGCTTCCACGTTCTTGCTATTGTGAACAATGCTGTGATAAATATTTGTGTGCAGGTATCTTTTTGATAGAGTGATTTGAGTCCTTCAGGGTATTTTCTCAGTAGGGGGATTGCAGGGTCATATGGGAGGTTGATATTTAGAGCTTTTAGGAATAACCACACTGCTTTCCACAGAGGTTGCACTAGTTTACACTCCCACCAAAAGTGTAGAAGTGTTCCCTTTTCACCACACCCTCTCCAGCAACTGTTATTTTTTGAGTTATTGATAATTGCCATTCTGACTGGAGTTAGGTGGTATCTCAGTGTGGTTTTGATTTGCATCTCCCTGATGATTAGTGAGGTTGAACATTTCTTCATGTGTCTGTTGACTGCTCAGATGTCTTCCTTTGAGAAGTGTCTGTTCATATCTTTAGCCCATTTTATAATGGGTTGTTTGTTTTTTTCTTTTCAGCACATTTGAGTTCCTTGTAGATCTAAGATGTTAAGCCTTTGTCAGATCTGGAGTTGGCAAATACTTTTTCCCAGTCTGTATGCTGTCTCCCTGCTCTCTTGATGGTTTCTTTGGCTTTGCAGAAGCTTGTCAATTTGATGAGGTCCCACTTGTCTATCTTCTCTCTTATGGCCTGTGGGTTTCGGGTTTTGTTTAGGAATTGGATGCCAGTTCCGATTTCCATGAGGGTATTTCCTTCATTTTCTAAAGTTCTTAGGTTTGAGGTTTTTACATTTAGGTCTCCAATCCATTTGGAGTTAATTTTTGTGTATGGGGATAGATAGGGGTCTTGTTTCAATCTTCTGCATGTGGTCAGCCAGTTTTCCCAGCACCATTCACTGAATAGGTTCTCCTCTCCCCAATGGTAGGTGGTGGAGGCTTTGTCAAAGATGAATTGGTTGAGAAATTGAGGTTTCACTTCTGGAATCTCAATTCTGTTCCATTGATCTATATGCCTGTTCCTATAATAGTACCAAGCTGTTTTGATGATTGTAGCTTTATAGTAAAGTTTGAAGTCTGGTAATTTGATACCACCTGCTTTGTTTTGGTTTGTTTTTTTGCTGAGGATTGTTCTGGCTATTCTTGGTCATTTGTGTTTCCATATAAATTCCTCTGCTGTTTTCTCTAGGTCGGAGAAGAATGTTGCTGGTAATTTGATGGGTATTGCATTGAATCTGTAGATTGCCTTAGGTAAGATGAACATCTTCACAATGTTGATTCTTCCAACCCATTAGCATGGGATATTTTTCCACTTCTTTGTGTCATCTTTGATTTCTTTGAGCAGAGTTTTGTAGTTTTCATTGTAAAGGTCTTTCACATCTCTTGTTAGGAAGATGCCAAGGTATTTCATTTTTTTTGTGGCTATTGTAAATGGAATTGTGCTTTTTATTTGGGTTTCTGTTTGTTTATTATTGGTGTAAGGAAGTGTGATTGTCTTTTGCTCATTTATTTTATATCTTGAGACTTTGTCAAAGAACTTTATCAGTGTAAGGAGGTTTTTGACAAATACTCTTGAATTTTCAAGGTAGACGATCATGTCATTTGCAAAGAGAGATAATTTGACTTCCTCTTTTCCTATTTGGATACCCCTGATTACCTTCTCTTCTCTGATCGCTCTAGCCAGGACTTCCAATACTATATTGAACAGGAGGGGTGAGAGTGGGCATCCTTGTTTTGTTCCAGTTTTCAGGGGAAATGGTTCCAATTTTTGTCCGTTTAGGAGTATGCTGGCTGTGGTTTTCTTGTAGATGGCTTTTACTACTTTGAGGTATGTTCCCTATATGCCTAGATGTTTGAGGGTTTTTATCAAGAAGGGGTCCTGGATTTTATCAAAAGCTTTTTCTGCATCTAATGATATAATCATGTGGTTTTTGTTTCGACATCTGTTGATGTATTTAATTACATTTATGGTTTTACAAATGTTGAACCAGCCTTGAATCCCAGGGATGAAGCCTACTAGGTCATGATGGATGATTTTTGAGATGTGTTGTTGTATCCAGTTTGCTAGGATCTTGTTGAGAATTTTAGCATCTATGTTCATCAAAGATATTGGCCTGTATTTCTCTTTCTTTGTTGGGTGTTTACCTGGCTTGGGTATCAGTGTGATGTTAGCTTCGTAAAATGATTTGGGGAGAGTTCCATCTTTCTCAATCGCCTGAAATACCTTCAGTAGGATTGGAATCAGCTCCTCCTTAAATGTCTTGTCGAATTCTGCTGGAAAGCCGTCTGGACCTTTTGTAGGTAGTTTTCTTATTATGTAGTCAATTTCCTTGATTGTTATTGGTCTATTTAGGGTCTCAATTTCTTCTTGTTTCAACCTAGGCAGGTTGTGTAATGACAGAAAGTCCTCTATTTCCTTGAGATTTTCAAGTTTGTTTCCATACAAGTGTACATAGTAGTCTCTAATGATCTTTTGTATTTCTTCAGGGTCAGATGTGACTTCATCTTTTGTGTTTCTGATTGTGCTTATTTGGGTTTTTTCTTTCTTTTTCTTGGTCAATCTAGCTAGGGGACCATCAATATTGTTTATCCTTTGAAGAACTAACTTTTTGTTTCATTGATTTTTTTGTGTTGTCTTTTTGTCTTCTATGTCCTGGATTTGGGCTTTTATTTTGATGATCTGGATTCTTCTGCTGAAATTAGGGTTTTTGTGGTCTTGCTTTTCCAGCTTACTTAGCTGGCTCGTTAGGCTGTTAAGTTGTGGTCCTTCCATTTTCTTCATGTGCGTTTGTAGGGTTATAAATTCTCCTCTTACTACAGCTTTCATGGCATCCCAGAGATTTTGGTAAGATGTTTCTTCATTCTCATTTGCTTCCAGGTCTTTTGATCTCTGTTTTGATTTCATCATTGACCCAGGCGTTATTTAGCATCATGCTGTTTAGTGTTCATGTCTTTGTGGGTTTTGGGGAACCTTGTTGGTGTTAATGTTTATTTATATGCCACTGTGATCCAAGAAGGTGTATGGTAGAATTTCGGTCCTTTTAAATTTGCTTACGCTTTATTTATATCCAATTATGTGGTCAATCTTAGAATATGTTCCATGCGGTGATGAGTAGAAGGTGTATTCTCTGGTCTTTGGATGGAGTGTTCTGTAGGTATCAATTAAGTTCATTTAGTCAAGAGTCACCTGAGGTTCCGGATCTCATTGCTGGTTTTTTGTCCTGATGATCTGTCTAGGGTTGAGTGGCTAATTAAAGTCCCCAGGTATGATGGTGTTAGAGTCAATATCTTTCTTTAGTTTTCCTAGAAGCTGTTTTATGAAAGTTGGTGCTCCTGTTTTGGGTGCATATGTGTTTAGAATGGATGTTTCTTGTTGTTGGATTGAACCTTTTATCATTATGTAGTGGCCCTGTGTATCTTTTTAAATTTTTGATAGCTTAAATGGTATTTTGTCTGAAATTAGTATCATGACTCCTCCCTTCTTTTGTGTTCCACTCACTTGAAAATTTGTTTCCCATCTTCTTAATTTGAGTCTGTGTATGTCCTTTCTAGTGAGATGAGTCTCTTGATGGCAGTATATTGTTGCCTGGTGACGTTTTATCCATTTTGCCATTCTATGTCTTTTCAGTGGTGCATTTAGTCCCTTCATATTCAGGCTAATTATTGAAATGTGAGAGTTTGTCCCTATCATAGAGTTCTTATATAGTTGTTGTTCTTCCACTTGTTTTTTTGTCTTTCTTTTGGTTTGGCGGTTGGTTCATGTGTATTTTATTCTTTTCCCTATACTCTTGTGAAGAATGTTGTTCTTTTTTCGTTTTCTTCTGTGTTTAGTACTTTCTTAAGTGTTTCATGTAGAGGTGGTTTGGTTGCAGTATAAGTTCTTAGGGA